GGGTAGGTGCCTTTCGCCCAGAGCCCCAGGAACTGGGAAAGGGTCAGCGGTGCCTAAATTAACTGGGTTACACCTTGAGCCCAGGGTAAAGGTGAGTGCCCTGGAGTGTGTGGGTAACCGAGTTGGTGCAGAATGCGGGCAGCCTAAGGTCTTTGGGACTGAGCTGATAAGAGTCTACAATAAAGAACAGCAGAGTACCAGTGCCTTCTGTCAGAAAGGATCGCCACCTTCCTGGCAGAATGACCTCCCCAGAACAACAAGAGGGAAAGGGAAGGATGAAAAGGGACCAGGAGGGCTGGGGGCTAGTTGAGGAACCCACCCTCCTTGCTAAATGGGTAGTGGGATGAGGCCCGTGCCCAGGGGAGGGATGTTTCAGCAAGAACAGCAGGATCGGGCCCTGAGAAGCAGACAGGCAACGGAGAGAGACTGGAGAACACGCTGGGCATAGTGACAGGAGTGAGAGGAGCACATGCTGGCACCATACAGACTCCTGGGATGCTCCGTGGAATGGTGATATCTGGGTGAGGCAGGTGTCACTTTGGGAGATGAGGGATTTAAGGAAAGAGAGGGAGAAGTTAACTCTACAGAGTTGGCGGGGGGAGGGGGGAATTAAGCAGTTGAACTTTGTGGAAATGTTAAAGAGGGAAAGTGTGATAGGAAGAGAATTCTTGGTTTCTTTGCAGCCATTCTGAAGGCAAATGGGCCCTTTTCCAAGGAAATGGTCTGTGAGCAATCCATTGTAAATAACTACTGCAGGCAGAGAGACAAACCGACACTCCTGGTTTGTAGGTTTAAGATGGAATTGGTTTTGGTATTTTTAAACAATGCCACTAAAAATCCATTTGAATCTCTCATTCAAAGCTGCAAAACTGACAGACACTTTTGCCAGACACACCAGTGTGGTTTGGCTTTGGTATTTAGCATTTAACCCTTTGGGTACTTCTATGCTTTATAAAGTTTAATATTTTAAATAAGGACCAGAGGATGTGGCTGGGGCAGCCAGAACCAGGAGAACGGGGAGAGATTCTGGATTTTGGTAACAAAACAGCGGCTAAGAGCTGCAGTAATGAAATGAAAGGAGTGCCCCTCTGCTGCACCCGCGGGGGTGAGGTGCACACAGCAGCGAAGTTAGGAACATTGAGCCGTAAGGTGGCTGTGAGGAATCAGACTGTCCCTTTGATAAGGGTCCATGAAAACTCCGTGAGCACAAAAGAAAGAGTTACACCATCTGTAAAAACGGGTCCGGCTAATACAATGTTATACAAGTTCAGCCAGGGCTGGAATGTGCATTTTCCCATGACACATGCAGTGCATACCGGAGAAGCGGCAAAAGAAACGTAAACAAAACCCGCTATTTAATTCAAACCCTGCACAGGCTCCAAAAGGAGCCGGGACAGGTGGGTTCCTTTTTCAGATGGCTGTGTGCTTTAAAAAACCAAACAGAGAGACAACAAGGTGCAACCCGGACTTTAAATGAGGCTGCGGAAAAAGGCCAGCCCAACAGCATACCAGGGGGAGAAAAAAGGTCAAAGAAGCCAACAAGCCATGGTTAAAATGGTTCCATTCCTCACAATTGAAAGCTTGGAAGGCGGCTAGAAATTGTTTATTTCCGTTTTCAAAATCTCCAAGGAAAAGCAGCAGGCAGTGGTGTCTGTGCTGATGGGGAAGGAGAGAACTGCCCATCCATGGCAACACACGGGGGTGCGGATAAGGGAGGCACCTGGCCAGCATTTAAGCAGGGCTCAGATTCTGACCCTCCAGGAAAGGGAGGTGGGAAACAAGTCAGTCCTGATACTGAGGGACAGGTTAACCCGTAGCAGGCAACAGTCCCTTAAAAATGTACCCTGCCCAACCCCCAGGACAGAATGAAATGAAAGCCTAGACAGATTCCAAGAGGGTACTGAACACACTGGCCTCAGAGACAGATTGTCTAAATAAACGGCGCGGTATAACAAGATACTTATACACACCCACTTGTCAGAGATTTGAT